CATATTATTACTCTGTTATTAAAATGGCATTAACTTTGGTAAAAAGCACATTATGGCTTGTTTGGGACTTGTGACTTGCCAGTAAATGACTTGGCCCCACCTGTGCCCATAACTCACCTGGTAACTCTGGCAGAAAGTTGCTGAGCTTCTCCTTCACCTTCTTTCCACAGAATTTGTTGTAGGCGTGCTCCAGGTTGTAGTGCGTGATGAGGTTGGTGTTGCCCGTTAACTCGTTTCCAACTAAACACAAAGATCTACATCAGTCTAATTCATGAAACAAGCCAGGTTATAATGCCACTTATTTGTTCATCTTGCAATTTCAGCTCAATTATCACTAAGTACAACCACAGCTAGCATACGATTAACTTTAAAATACAGCAGCAAAATGAAAACGTAAACTCAAGTGGATGTATTTGTGTCACAAACACAAGATATTAAAAAAAGAGAGTCATACCTATGAAAAAAGTGGGCAAATTCCGGTAATTAGCCCACTCAGTATCTTCGGTAACACTTACCTTGGTGGCTAACGCTAGCTAGCATTGTTTACAAACTGCTTAGCAACACCTTTGATAGTAGCTCAACTCTTTCTTTAAATTAACAGACAAGTAACATTAAAAGCATACAACAATTATAAGAGTCCGACAGTACCAGGCAACTCCCGCAGTAAATAGAAAGGTTCATTCATGGCTCCGGGCTTCCGCAGAGCAGGCCCTTCATCCCCGAGCTGCGGTGGCATCTGCCCCGCCATGGAGACTTGATTTTGCGGCAGCGGCGGCGGAGGTTTCCCTGGTCCGAAGCCCAAAGACGAAGAGCCGGGCGGTCCCTGAGCTTCATTTTGCCCGAACAGAGTTGAAAACATTTCTGTCATATCTATAACAAATAATACATTTATATAGAAAGAAATAGCCGGTTTCTCCAAGCGTGTGGCCTGTAATTTCTGATGGTGTTTACCACGAATACACCCGACTGTCAACTACTCGACTCTTCACTTCTTTGTGGTATTATCTTCATAGCGCACGTACCGTAACACCAGGCATAGACACGCACATTACCATAATGATTGGTGTATATTGGCCCATACGGATATAATCACTGAGGTCACAAATAACTTTTTATTTCCAAAATTTAAAGTTTATTCTTAGACAAACACACGTTGGATACAAAATCAATATGTACAGTTAAGTTAGTGGATATATCTCCAGGACAAATAATTTGAAGATCACACATCAAGGACATTGACAGGGCAGAGAGAAGATGCCAGTCTTTCGAACTCTATGACAGATGCCTAAAAGTATGTGGGAGAGAGAGAGAGGAAAAAAACATACAAAACTGTTAACACTCAAGGCAAACTTCTATTTTATATTTCTACTTATGTCAAAGTGCACCAGGACACCAGGATATTGTGTCCATCGGCAACAGCTGTCAGACAGTGGCCTCCTTCAAACTGTACTAATGCAGATACCATGTTTTTCTTCTTTATTTTTTTTTAATTAAGAAACATCACATCCATTTACAATATATTACAGGTTCAGTCAGTGTCTAAGATTTAGGGGGATTTAGTGACATCTAGCAGTGAGTATTGCAGACTGCAACCAGCTGAAACTTCTACTGGTTGAAATTTCTTCAGTGTTTATTGCTCAGGAGGTTTTTACGGGGACCCGCATTATCTGCAGAGATCACCTCCTCTCCAAAACAAACAGGTTAGGTGATTAAAACCAGTAAAAACATTAAATAAAGCATTTTAACATTTGAAATTAGTGTTTTTCCAGTGCTAATTGGCATGTCAGAGACGGATGGCTCATTCACCACATGTTAGTGTGTGCTCACCATTTTTCTAATTCAGGCATTCAGGAGGTTTTTTTTTTTTTACCGGGAGCCAAATTATGCATATGCATATATCCCCTTAAATCCCACACACTGGGCCTTTAAAGTTACTTACCTGGGAAGTAAAATGCAGATTTTGACAAATATGGTTCAGTCACGCAGCTATTACATAATTTGAGACTTCTAATGTCATAAGTACATTTTAAAATAAAGACTCAAGCATTACTTACACATTACCCCTTTTGCGAATATAAAAATAATTATTTCGAATATGATTTTTTTAATGTTATTCTGTGCAGCTCTAATGTCTTAGAGTGTCTGTTTCTCTCACCTTCCACTCATCAACGGCGGCAGAAATACGATGTTCAGTCTGAGCAACACTCTCTCTACCAGCCTGAACCTTCTGTGCCAGAGCAGCATTCTCTGCTTGAATCTTTTTCAGCTCCTGTCGCATGTAGGCCTCCTGCTTTTGATAGTATGGCATCAAAAAGCTGCAAAAGTCCTGCTCAGGAACCCCACTCGGCCGCCTAACGGAACAAGAGAGAGGGTTAAGGATGAAAATGTTTTATACTGTAATCATGTAGCAAAATGGAAATATTACAGTGGCGATGCATGGTGCAATAAAAGAATGCAATGCACCTGTATTACAGGTCCAATAGTGAGACAGTGTATACAAAAATGTTCCATATTGATTAACACAACAATACTGGGGCAAATCATTGATATACTGTTCCTCAAGATCTGCAGACAGCATTGCCCTGTGTCCATCTTTGTGTATCTACTTTGAAGAATGGTGGAAATTCACTCTTTAAATATTTTTTAGTTAAATATCTGAGCAACAACAGTTTCCATTCAACACAATTTCATTCATCAAATGAGACATGGTTGGAGTAAGTTATTTTTTATGCCAAAATTAACTTTCTGCTTATTACTTGCTCTTTGTTATAAATAATAATAATTTACAGAGAAGAAGAAATTCTATTAACTGACCATGCAGGGTCTGCACTGTTCTTGGCAGCACGTTCCAGTTTGTCCAGCTCATTCAGTTTTAACTCTAACCGGCCTTCTTCAATCAATCTGCTGATGTCCTCCTTTACATACACAGACACAAGCATTAATGTGAACAGGTAAAAATAGAAGCAGGTAGACAAGTAAATACTGCATTCACATATATGATACAAACAACAAGGGAGCAGAGCTTCCATTTGTTGTTTGTTTTCATATGTAGTATTAATATGCTGTGCTGCACACCTGTATAGTCCTCTGCAACTCCTCAATGAACTGCTTGTGAATGCTCACGATCTTCTCAGGGTTTTTCTTGTACAGCGGGCCGTAGGTGCTGGCGAATCTGTTAAAACTGTAAAAGAAAGCCATGTCAATCAAACGTGCAGCAACGTGTGGCTTTTCCCAATACATCATGGTTTTTCTCAGTTCTCTGAACTTAAACTGAAATGATTAGTTGATTTAACCTGTAAGTTGATCAACAGAAAAATTATTGATAACAACAGATTTGCTTAAGGAGTGCTTGTGAGGTCATTTATCAAAAGAAAATGCCAAATATTTACTGTTTACCGCCTCTTAAATATGAGAATTTTCTTTGTTATATTATATAAATCAAATATATTTGGGTGCTTGACTGTTAGCTGGACAAAAGAAGTACCATTACGGTGTCCTTGTTCTCTTGGACTCTGGGCATGTTTCACTTTTTCCTTTGTTTTTTTTACTTCTCATATCTCAATCTATCTATTAATATATTAAAACAAACAAACAAACAAACAAACACAAACAAACATAAAAATGAAAACAACAAATATGAAAATAATCCTTTGTGGCAGCCCAAGAAAAACTATTGTGTTTTATGAAAAGAAATCATTATTGTAAAAAAATAAGGCAGTTATCATTAGGTCGTTATCTCTAAAAAATATAGTCCTACTTCTTTTCAGTAATTCATGTTAACGGTAAACAACATTTATATTAGGTCTCCTTTGGGCACTTCCTATGATAGATGTGTCAATGAATGCTGCACAGTAATAAGCATCATTTACAATACTCAGATCCCAATCCTTCACACCAGCTGTGACCACAGAACCACACTCACACACTGCTTTTGTAGCTTATCTCCATTTCATGTTCGCTTGTTTGAATCTTGAGTTCAGAACTTTTTTAAGGGGAACACCACCAAAATTAAAAATTCCAATATGTTATTTCTTTGGGCTAGGGATGTTCAATCAATATATGTAAACATGAACTACTCTCTCTCAAAGCCAGAATCCAAGTCTCAACTTATGATGTCATCAGGTATAAAGTCAGGAGCTTTTCCTTTTTAGATCCAAATGATCCAAATGATTTTGAAGTAGTGCTTTAATTCTGAAACAGAAAATTTACCCATATACACAGAATACTTCCCTGGTTGCTCTCAAAACATATTTCCCAATTCACTGACTATGGAGAAGCTTCAGACTTTATACTTGATGTCATCATACAATTGAGTTTTAGCACTCTAGTTTCTGAATTTGGGAGAGAGTTGTTCATGTTTACTCATATTTTTGGCCTGTCTTAGACCATGGGAATAATGTATGAATCTTTAAAAATGGGCGTAGCTGCCTTCAGCTCATCACAATTTCAGCTTCTGGTGCGAGTTCATCACATTGTCATTTACAGTAATGAGGGTCTATAACACGTGAGCTACAAATCTGAACAACTGCATACACGGCTTTAACTGTCGTTTTTGCAACGGATTTCCACCATTATCAGAAAGGATATATTACCTGGCAGTTTCGATGAGCTTCTCCAGGCTCTTCTGCATCACTTTGTCGAACAACTTCAGTCTGTTAAACCGAGCTTCCGTGTCCTCGGACGGCTTACACACCGATCCAGTGTTTGACACCTGTGAGGAAACTTCTCCTGTAGCGTCATTTATCTGGTTTTCAGTTGAGTCTTTAACGCATGTGTTATCTACAGCCTCCTTTTGTGTTGCTACTTTGCTTTCCTCCATTTCTCAGCGGCTTCTGTTTACGTTTTGCAGTACCCGCCAAATCTACGGCCAGCCGCAGCGCCCAGAAAACATCATATCCGCGTTGTTTGGCGCATGCGCAGCTCGAACCAGTCGTCCAATCAGTTAGTCCAGCTGTCATTCCTCCTCAAACCTCTCGAGGTTGACAGTTGTCTCTGTCAGCATGGGGCTCATCACAGGACTCTTTACTTTCTTGTACCACTTACCGCAGATTTACAAATGGCTGCTGAAGCCGTATTATATCACCTCGGTCCTCATGACCGTCGCCTTCCTGCTGGTCCGAAAGGCTCCCGGTTTGTGCGAGCACCTGGCGACCCAGCGGGAGGACGGGAACTCCTGCGACTTTGACTGGGTGAGCATGGTGGGGGTAGTGTTGCGTTGCTGCCTGCTAAATATGGTGGGGTCAAATTAGCTGCTGTGAGATGAGTTAGCGAATTTAATCACTCATTACAAAGTTGTTTTATGTTTTATCTTTTTGTTTTTGTAGAGAGAGGTGGAGATTCTCATGTTCCTCAGTGCAATAGTGATGATGAAGAACAGGAGAGCAAGTAAGTACACACACACACACACACACACACTTGTATATATGTAAACCAACTGATGTCATACTATTGTAAGTGCTTGTTTACACTGTAAACACTTCACATTATCAGATATGGCCATTATAAGAAGGTGATGCTCAATTTGGGAGCAGGGAACCACCAGGATATATAGAGGAATATGGCAAATCTATCCCCTAATTAAACCAAATATTTAACATGAACTGTAGACATATAACTTAGTTTAACTTTGTATCTAACAACAAGGACAAGATATCTGTGTCCTGACTGTTAAACTTCAACCAAACAGGTATTTGCGACCTAATGAGTAACTGTTTTAAATCCTTAACCTGAGACCTAATGAGAAGCCCTGCAGCAGGCCACATCCAGGAAGTACTTTACTAAAAACTTTGCTTTGTTGTGTAAACATTACAGTGGTAGTGTAATCTTGCCATCCTGTGACCTTGTATCAACAGCGTCAAGGTCTTTCCTGTGCTGCGTTCATTGTTTTCCCCCCATCTTCTTTTTCTCTCTGTTTCTCAGTCACACTGGAGCAGCACATGGGCAACTTGTTCCTGTTCAGTAAAGTGGCCAACGTCATCCTCTTCTTCAGGCTGGACATTCGGCTCGGCATCCTTTACCTTGCATTGTGTGTTGGTTAGTGACCTTATAACCCTTGTTACAAATACTTTCCCTCTCACAATGAAATTTGACTCATGGGAAGGTCCATTTGTGGAGAACTGTCTTTCATCAAGAAGGTCACATTACATTGGTGTTACATTAGCCCATCACCTCCACCTCACAGTGGTGCAATTAAAATGTGCCTTTTCATGTTAAGCAACACCATGATAGATGCAGGGTAACTGTTGCACAGAGACAGATCCATATCACATGGTCTTGAAGTCAATTTTATTCGTAGGTGAAAGCCAAAACAATAGACAAACTTATCAAGTAAATGGTATTTGCAGTATCAAATAGAGGAATGTTAAGGTTTTATTTTATAAATGTGTATTCATTTTAGTAATGTTAGTGAAGGTGGTGCTTATTTCAGACAAATTACACATTAAAACATTGCAGGAAACCCTCTAAACAGATGCCTTTAATACGAAGGATTTGGGGTTCGCGAGGGAATAGTACTATGAAGCTGGTTCATATTTTACTGGGATAAATCAACGTGCTAACTTATGCTAAACAGCTAACCTGCAACAGAGCAAGTAAACTTCAGAGGATCAGAGCACATCCTGTTAACTCCCTGATAAATGACCAGTCAGATCTCTCAGATCATTTTATTGTTCCGGATTTTCTATGTCCTGTCTGATTTTACATAAGAACTTTTAACTAACTGAGAGATTGTTTATGACACTTAACACAGAATGATGATTTTATTTTAATTTTAATTGTGCAGAGTTTATTTTATCTGTGTATATCTGACAGTGTGACTCTGATTCCATCACTGCAGCTCAGAATTAGATCAGACTCCTGTGTGTGATGATGATTGGAAATAAAAACGAAAGCTTGTCCTTTGTTAGAAAAATAATCCCTGCATTGTCAGGTGGCTCCCGTGATTATGAATGCATCATTTCAGTCAGATAGAAAATCCTCATTAACTACTTTTCCACTCTTTACTTCAGAAGCAGAAACAGTCTGGCGTTACTTTGAAGTGTTTGTGTGACATATTTAGAGTAGTTTCTCATCATCTAACAAAATAAAAAAATACTCACTAAATACTTATTTTATATACAGCCTAATAATACCTACACCTACACTAGGTCTTGGTATACTTTCAGTATTTGGAAATTATTTCTAGTGTTTCCACATGTTCTTATTCTGTTGTAAGATTACATGCTATCATTTACATTGCACAATGAATATCACTTTTTACTGTTTGTAACACTTAGCACTCCTGCAGGTTATTAGTTTCCCTGATTCATCTCATATCATATCAAGTACTTCATTCATGGTCCTGATGATGTTGCTTGTAATTAACACGCCTGCCTCTTTCACACTGGAGCCCTCTTCAGAAAATGTAAACCTTACATTTAGCCATTGTTTTCATCCACTGGGAACCACTGTAAGGTAAACTTATCAGTGTTTATCTATGCCTTGTCTCCAGCGTTCGTCATGACCTGTAAGCCACCACTCTACATGGGCCCCGAGTACATAAAGTACTTCAGCGACAAGACCATAGATGTGAGTGTTACACTACAGACTACGCTGAATTGCAGTTGTTTGAATGCTTGTAAATACCTTTATGATGTAAGACGGTCATTTGGATGTACAGTGGTCCCTCAGGCTACTGATATGTTCAGTTAAAGCTTTGAAACAACATAACTGGTGGGAATCATAATGGGTTTATCAAGTATTGATATATTCAAGAACATTTGCATTTTGGACAGTGCTATCAAACTTGTAAGCAATAGCAATATGCCAATTAATATTGTATTATATAAATTGAATGTCAGACATCTGAAATTGAAATAGTAAATTATTACATCTTCCTAAATGATGATGCCCCAGTCCTGCAGGTGAGTAGATATATATGTCAGAGATCTACACCCATGTAATCTAATTTCTGTTATTGACTCATTAGGAGGAGCTGCAGAGTGACAGTCGTATCACCTGGATTGTTGAATTCTACGCCAACTGGTCCTCTGAGTGCCAGTCCTTCGCTCCCGTCTTTGCCGACCTTTCACTCAAGTAAGAGATAAGTAAAAATAGACTCTCCAGTACGCAAGATACTGAGGCCTACACGGTCTCAGTCAGGCTTTCCTCTGGCCCTCAAGCAAGTTAATTAGTCACTTATGGTAAAAACAGATGAGCTGTGTTAAGGAAAAAATACTAAACGAATACACACTTTTGACTATAACCACACAAATCACCACTCACATTTTTACTTAAATAAGCAACCGTGATATTTGTTTACTTTGTAGCAATGCATTTTATAAAGGCTATAATAGTATTTTAATAGTTCCTATCTGTTCTACATTCATTCTAAAATCATGGTCTTTGATATGAAATATAAATATAAATATAATTATATTTATTTGATACCAGCTGCAGACACTGCTCAATGTAGGTTAGACAGACACAACAAGACTTCTGCTGTGTGTTTTGTTTTGGCTTATTAACCTTCCGTATTTGATGCTGTATTTCTGTCCAAATATGACTTTTTTTAAGTTAGATTTTGATCAAAATGAGCTGTAAATTAATTTTAAGATGCATTGAATGTTTCCTTCAGTACTACCAATCACATGGTTAGGTTAACTGCTACGTTTAAGCCCTCAAATGTCAAATGCCCTCCCAAAAAAAACCCTACATGTTAGGCATTTGTCCAAGACTGGCCTAAATGTCTTGTTTGTCTCTTTGCATATCATAGGTACAACTGTGCTGGACTCAGGTTTGGGAAGGTGGACATTGGACGCTATGGAGAGGTTTCAGAGAGGTCAGTCATTTTCTCTGCACTCATCTTTAATATTGCAACATTAATTTTAGCACAGGTGTTGACCGTCCCATGAATTGTCTTTGAACAGGTACAAGGTGAGTACCTCTCCTCTGGCTAAGCAGCTGCCCACACTGGTGCTTTTCCAAGGAGGGCGCGAACTTATGAGACGTCCGATGGTGGACAATAAAGGCAGAGCAGTGTCTTGGACCTTCAATGACGTAAGTCTTGTCTGTAACCGACACACGGAGCACGTTCTGTCACATTCACACACAGATGCTAACATGTGGCCTATTTCGTCCCCAGGAGAACATTATCCGAGAGTTTAACCTCAACGAGCTCTTCCAAAAATACAAGAAGCTGAACAAAAGTCGTGCTTTGAAAGAAGGGGAGCAGAACTACACTCAGCCAGAGGAGGGCAGCGACGAGCTCGAGCCTGAAACCAACAACCCGGAGCAGCCCACAGAGAGCAAGAAAGACCAGTGAAGTGGAGAGGATGATTCAGGGTTGATGCTAGAATGGATGGTCCGAGGGATGGGGAAAGGACCGTCAGAAAGGATTTTGACTGCAGACGCAAAGCTTTTTCTAATGTCATTGCATCTCAGCAATAAGCGTTGAGTCCACAGCTCCACATCCAGGGGTATATGGACTCTGGTGGAAACCTGACAGAGGGCTCACCACAGTCGGCACAGACCTCGCCGACTTCCCGCCCTCTCTCTGGTTCTCTGGCATAAGAGCAGATCAGGGTGGGTCAGTGGGGCCTGCCGGAGGCTGCTTAGGGGCTGTGGGATAGAGCCAGGCAACTGAGAGTCAAGCCAGGGGTCTGTGCGCACACCAGGTGCCCATTGCTTGCTGTCCTCCAGTGTCCATGCACCCCTGGATATGGAGCCTCCAACACGCTTTCCTCTTCAGCCCCGGTAAAGCCTCCAGCAAGCCCCAGTGATCCAGGCTGTGCTCTGCTCCTCCACCAGAGAACCAGGGGGAGAGCAGGGGATCAGCAGAATCCGTGTCCAGGCCCGTTAGCCCCCTGTCAGCGTTCCTCAACTGTCCATAGACCCCTGGATGTGGAGCAGTCTTTGTCATTTGTGTTTTTTCAACATTTTGTGTTCTAGCCAATCACAGCACAGTATGGCGGGACTTGTCCCTCCAGACCACCCATTCTAGCATCAGTCATGATTCAGAGAGGGGCCCCAAGTCTTTCTTTTCTTCTGACATTGCCATGCCTTACATTATTGCAAAACATTATGGAATGAAAAGAGGAAAATAGGTTTGACCACTACTAGATGTCATCTCTACACTATGTCTTTACTGTGGCGAATAAATACCCAAAAAAGCTAGACCACATTTCTCTGGTCTGAGTGGGTATGATGCCGTATGGTGTGGACGCAGCTATGCATAAGCTAAGCGATGACGTGGGGACATTTTATTACATTTATTAAGTTATTTGAGGGGGAAAAATGCCTTTTTTTGTAATGATTGTTTTTCAGCCACATCTCATCACTGCATGTAAACCTTTGCTGCCTGTATTTTGTGTGTTTACTGATGTCTCATGTTTCAAAACCAAAGTGAAGCTGAAATTAAAAGTGTGACAAGTAAAGATTCACAACACATTGAATTTTTCATCAGTTTGACCTTTTTATTCTGAGAAGACATCTTTTTAAAAACTCTTTATAAGGCCATTTTGGAAATGTTTTTAATGTACTCGTTACAGATATTTGTGAAACTCGTTCCATTCATCACAGCCCACAATAGCAATATTTTATCTCACATAGAAGTATACTCACTGTACTCACATAGTTTCAAATTGTTCAGCGGCCATCATCCTTGGCCAGAAAGGAAGAAAAGTAACACAGGTTCTCTTTATCTCTGTACGACGGCTGCCCGTGCCATTAGTAATGCTTCTTTTCTTGTTGCCACCCACACATCAACCAGGTGGGCTTTTGACAATATTCTCACAAGTACGCACGCCAGTGAAGCATTCAGCACGACAAACAAAAGTCACATGCACACCGAAGACATAGCCTGGGAGGGTTGAAAATTCGTAACACGGTCTCTTGGGTTGAACGATGATACTTGTGTGCTTCAAGCGTGTACTTCTCCCCCAAAGACGTGCTACATTCAGCCAGCTTTGACATTCTACTGCTAACACCGCTGTAGGACTCGACAGAAAAAAATTAAAATAAATAAAACCTTAACCGTAATGCCCGATCGTCAAACACCCATACACACATCCCTTCGTCTAATTATTTTTTTCTTAACATGGCTGAGTAAAAAAAATAACTGTACCTTTTACAGAAGTTTTGAAAAAACAAGCAAGTCAATCAAAAAAATCTAATCTGCCTCACTTTTTTTTTTCCTCAGTAAAGTGTAAAAAATGTGAACCAATAGAAAAAATAAAAATGTGCATGCTTCACTATGAATGGTCTCAAGGCAAAAAAATTGACAGAGTCTCCAATACAAACCAGTCCCCGCTTGAAATTCTATTCAGTGGCATATCACATTTACAATTTCATTTATAAAGTTTTTTTTTTTTTTCATAAAAAATATTCATACTTTCTCATCTTTTCTCCAAAAAAAAAAGAAAGAAATCGAACTGGTGGAGACTGGTTTGAAATGGTGCCCAAAACTACAAGGTTGTCTTGTCTGGTGAAATAAATAAGCCCTTCCCTCACTGCCCCTATTTGGCTGGCCGTCTGTTAAAGGTTTAAGGTCCTGCTAGCATTCTGATTGATTGACAGACAAAAACATTACAGAAAAAAAAAGAAAAGAAAAATAAACACCAAAAAGACATAGGATGATCTTAAAGCTACTAACAGATTTTGCATAATGTCTCTAGCATAAACATTACAAGCGTACATTCCACAAAGATACTTGTGCTGCAATCGTGATTCAGAATTTCTTTGTGGCTTTCCAAAAAAAAAAAAAAAAGAAAAAAGAAAAAATTAAGCTCAATTATTTGCCACTTCAGCTTTCCACCAAACGATCGTCTTTCTCTTTGGACGATGAAAATTCCAGCAAGAGCTCATGAGTGGCTGATGCAGCCATTAAATACAAACAGGCAACTGATTTGAAATCGCTTTCATGAATAATATTACACACAGTTCATCTTCCAACCTCATCCATGATCATCTCCAATACCTGACAAGTTGACCCAATAATAATAATCTGTAAGATTTTATACATTTATATAAAACAATATTTAAAAAAAAAAGATTTATAAAACTAAAATGATACTGTGTTTATACGTTGGACTCTCCATGACTCTTATCGATAAACAGGTTGTGTGGTCCGTTCAGACAGTGGAGAAGACGTTTCTATTGGTCAACAGTCCAAAATCCTCCCTCTTAAAATTCCACTGGATAAAGGCCATCCTCTCCTTAAGTGTCGGACACGGTGGTCAATACTCTGTGTGCTAATGTACCAAATAAAACAGCAAATCATTGAATAGCTATGCATGTTCTATAGACATATCTGTACCCAGCCGCGATGATACAGTCACATCAGTCTATGGCTCACAAAGTGGCGAAATGGAGACAACTTGATCCTGTGAAAAAAAAAATGAACCAGTGTCCCCTTTTACTCTTTGTTCAACTTTGAAAGGCGAGCAGAGGAGAGTGGCCAGTGGCGTTACAAACATAACAAAGTGAGTACCAGACAGGCCTGCTCCTTTAGTCCTTTGCAGTGGAAAACAGTCATTTTTCAGGAGCCTGCAGGCGTGAATAATGTCCAGCTCAGGTGAGGAGAGGAAGTAGTCCGATGACTTTTTCCTGCTTCCTTGTGATAGACCGTGAAGGATGTCCGTCACTCAAACCGATATCTCGTAAGTGGTCCCTCCGACGCCTGTCACCTTCTTCACTCCGCCCCCTGGTTTGGATATGGTGTGATTGGCCAAGACTGGGCGAGAGGTGGATCTGATTGGACAGCCATCAGGAAGGGGATGGGAGGGGAGGGGTGAGGGAGTAGAGTAGGGGTGAGGACAGAGGATACATGAATGTGGAGGTGAGTGGTTCTACTTCAAAAATAACAACAAACAAACAAAAACAGCAACATGTTTCTCTGCCAGTGATCTTGTAAGGCATTTGGTAACTATACTTGGTGAGTAAGAAAAAAGACAAGGACAGAAAAGGCTACAGGACAGAAGTAAATAGCAGCTTGGTTAGACATGCTTTCACAGAGCTAAACACATAGTGGCATGCTTGTGAAACTATTCCACACAGACCACCAACTGAAACAATAAAACTTCCAACACTAAACGCTAAACAAGCAAAGACTGTAAAGCATGGAGGAAAAGGAAGACTCACACAGATCAGGGAGGAAGAGGAGGGCTGACACAAACCAGGGAGGAAGAAGAAGAGAATTAGGAGGGAAAGGAAGAGGAAGAGTAGCAGGCTGACAGATCTGGCGACGGATCACTACTCACTGTGGAGCCTGTTGCCCTCCTCCGGCTCCTCCCCCTCCCAGCACAGTGCCTCCTCCTGCGGGCCGAGGCTTGTGCTGAGGCCCTGCCTCCCCAATGTAAGACTGGGACTTGCCAAGGGAGAGGCCGCGAGGTGGCGGGGAGACAGGGGGCTCTAGTGAGCGAGCCCCGGGGGAAGAGGATGAGGAGGAGAGGTTACGAGGGGCTCGGGAAGAGGAGTCCTGGTTATGCTGCAGCAGGTGCTGGATCTCAGGAGGCCCAGAGGAGGAAGGAGGGGGCGGGCTGACGGCACGAAGGTAGGCCCTGTGGGGGGAGGAGAAAGTGGCAGAGCCCTGGAGCAGCTGCCCCTCCCTCTGCTGGGCGATCTGAGCTGAGAGGAAGGGCGACGTGTAGCCCTGCAGCGGGCTACTGGGTGACACCACCTCATGCTGGCCTGTTACAGTTGCTGGGGGAAACGGAGCACGAGGCTTCTGCGGTGACAGCTCATGAGCAGCTGACTCGAACTCTGGGCTCTCGGATGGTGTCAGAAGGCTGTCATAGGACAGGCTGCCATTCCGAGGCGTTTGATTGGCCAGGCTTTTGTAGCTGGTGTCTGTGGTGCCCTCTGATTGGAGCGTGGCCAGCGGGTTATGTGCCGTGTGCGCTGAGCGCAGACTGGAGGAGCGAGAGCCGCCAGTGGACAGAACCAGAGAGGATGGGTAGGAGGTGTAGGAGCGCCCAGTCAGAGAGTAACCTGACATGCCCCCTGTCATCATCCCAGCAGTCCCGCCAGGGCCTCCGGGGCCCTCACCCCTCTCCCCTCCCCCTCTGCGCGCCCCTACACCTCCCCCGACTACTGTGGTCCCGTCCAGGCTGCTCGGCTCCGAGCGGTAGCTAGGCTGACGGCTGGACTGGAGGATGGAGGGAGATGGAGAGTCAAGACTCTCCCCACGGATCATCTGAGAGGAGAAACAGGCAGAAGGTAGAGAGGGGGAGGAAAAGTGTGATGAAGATGAAGGCAAGAGTGAAGAGGGGGAAGAGAGATGAAAATCACCATGTTACCTCGGGAACAGATAACATAGCACCAAATAACAACCATTTCTCTACAGATTCTAACAGAAATAAAGAGTGGTGGGGAGAAACTGGATGCTTGACCGGTGCTCTACTCCATCATCACACTACTGGATTGGAAACATTGACTGGCTTCAACAAGCACTGACACTGCATGTCAAAGACTGTGTGTATCAACACATAAATGGAATTACAAATACATACGGTACATGAACTACACATTCCAGTCAATGCAGTCTCAGGGGAAAGGATAGATCCACTCAAACACACAGAGACAGCCAAAGGGATACACACAGATGACACTAGCTGAGACTTACTGATCAACCGATGGCCACTGAATGATCAATTCAAAGTAAAAAACAAAAAAAGAGGGGCATGGTATTAACCACAAAGGAAATTAGAAGGGTGAGGGCAAATCAGCCACCAGACTATCTGTTATAACAATCTGTATCTGTTCTGTTCTCTTCTCTTCACTTTTCTGTGCAATAAGCTTAACCACATCCCTTTTTGTCTTATAAATGCTAAAACAAGTTTGCTATGTGATAATCAACAAGGTTGTGTGTATTTAAAAGAATATATTTAGATTTACATCAGTCTTACATGTGTCTGTGTTTCCAATCAGGCAAAGATATGTGGTTAACTTCACTCTCAGGTGATTGTTTCTTCAGTTCTCTTAATATACAGTATCTACACAATGCTAAGTGATTAGTTCATACACAATGCCTTGAAGTCTGTGAAAGAGTGTACTGACACGTACCTTGTTGGGGTGTGTGAGGGCAGTGTGGTTCCTTCCTGGGCTGTTGTAGGCTGGTCTGTACTTGTACATTGACGGTGTAGGTGGAGCTTCAGTCAACAGGCTGCTCTCTGAGTGGCAAGAAACCGAAAGTGACATTTTAAAAAGGGTGTGGTTGTGATTAGAAAACAAACAGTCATCTGCTCACATAAGAGGGAAAACACTTGAAGTACCAAGGCTGGACTTGATGGTCAGCAGTCAGATGTTGACATGTCAGGTGACATACCTGCAACTACACGGGTTCACATACAGTATGTATTTTGTGTGTGTGTGTGTGTGTGTGTGTGTGTGTGTGTGTGTGTGTGTGTGTGTGTGTCTCACCCTCTGTGTCAGCACGGGGCAGGCCAGGGTAACG